AGTGGCCTGCGGTCTTGGGGTCGTGGGGTCCCTCCTTCTGGCTGGGCATTGCTCATGGCCCCGTGAGACATCTCACGCTGCTTGTCAATATATCACTCTCCTGTATGAGCCCTGAAGAAGAGGCAACCCCACTGTGCTCCCACTGCCATTGCCCAGCCGCTGGCTCCCATCCCAGCAGCCCGCTGAGGACACTTAGCAGAGTGTGACCAAAACCTGCCTTATCACAGTCCACCTGGGACCAGAAACAAACTTGGGGCACAGGGGAGTTTCCCAGCAAAGCCTGGCAGCTCCCCACACAGGAATTACCGCTGGCTGCTCGAGCCCCTGCTCCTTTCCTGGCCGCTCCAGCGTATTTACTCTGGAAGCCCATCCAGCTCTTGGGAAAGCCATCAGAGATGCTGACTGAGCCCCGGTGACCTGCGTGGATCCCAGTGTGACAGCTGCAGTCGCTCACACCTCTGCTTCTCATGCTGTCCCGCGCTTGCGCTGCTCACAGAGACGTTCGCCCTTTCTGCCTGCTCTCCAAGGGCACTGACTTCTCCTCCTCAAACAGAGCCCTTGGGTTCTCTCTGGACAATCATTTACTTGCCAATAAATGCGGTTTCTTGAGAGGAAGGAGAGGGCACAAGAAAAATCATTGTAAATTGGGCTCAAGTTTGGTTGGCACTTTGGTCCAGATAGGGTTTTATGTAACTTTAAAAACGTCTTACTTTATTTTGACCTTTTTCCAACATTTCTCTCCAAGTGATATTTAACGGTGAGGACTGAAAAAAGGGCTGAGAAAACCCAGACCTAAATGAACTGCTTGATCTCCCACCGTACCACCACTCTGTCCCGCCCCAGTGGAAAATTTGTTTGTCGTTCTGCTGAGCCAGCTAAAAAAGTTTTTATTTTGGATTGACTCAGAGGCTTTGCTTTCAGGACACTCCTCAAGGACCTGCACAAGGAACGAGTCACCTTTGATGCTGGGCAGTGCCCCGAGACTCACTTGTGCTGTATGAAGGCTTCTGAGCCTCCCCGTATCATCATCCTCCTGTGCCCTCTCCACCCCACATGCCCAAAAGCTGGTAGTGGCTGCTGCCTACTACTTCTGGAGAGCAAGTCAAGGTCGGCAAAGGGCTTCTAGGTGGATCTCCAGGGAGTCGTCTGAGAAGGGAGGGAGCTGCAGGAAGGGAAGGGGGCAGGCTGGAAGGGTTGACTGTGCTTCTTGGGCATTAAAGTCCTCAGAGGTGGCTTTGGCCTGGGTGTAGCATGGCATGGGAGGTCACTGATGCCTCCTGGGGAGGCGAATTCCTTGGTTCTCTGTCTTAATGGGAGAGAATTTGATCTGCTCACCAGTGTGCTAGGCAAGCCAGCGTGAGCTCCACAGTAAATCCAGCCAGGAACAAGGCTTGCTGCCTGCTACAGCCTCATGTCCCTCCCCTGGAGAAGTTCTGATATTGCCTGGTTTTACCTGGTTTTCCTCACTCCGGTGAATCCTTGGAGCTGCCAGGAGATAAAGGAGGGAATGGCGACGGTAAGCAGGCAGGGACTGTCAGGCCAGCGCCCACAACGCTGCAGACAGTGGAGATGGTGCTTCCAGCTCTGTCCTCCCCTGGGCACCTCCAGACCCCCGGGGTTCTCGGCTTTGCGGTCACCTCTCAGAGCTGGCACAACACCTTGGCTCAGTGTTGGCTGTGATAAGAACTCCGAGACGGTTCACAGTGGCCCAAGTGACCCCCATTCTCTCCTCTCCAGGGTGAAGCTGCCCCAAGGCCTCCAGGCAAGAGGGAGTGATTTCTGTGTGCTTTAGATTTTTTTTTAATATCTCTCAAATATTTTTAGCGCTCATAGAAGTGAGAAACTGGGAGAGACCCAACTGGGACCAGTACTGTACAACCCTCAACCAGAGCCTTCCCATGACTGTTGCCAGCCCTAGTCCCACATCTCCAGATACCTGCCCCTCTTCCCCCAGCATCATCCTGCTGATTTTTTGGGGGAAACCTTACCATTCTCATGGGTGCTGGACATGATGGGCCAAATTCAGTGGTGGAGCAGGCAAGCATTGCCTTCAGCGGGCACCGTGCTGGATCACACAGCGTGGAGTTTCCAATGGGGCTTTTAAGAAGCTTGATATTTGTGACTGGGGCATGATGAAATCTGCCCCATCTGTCCTACCACACAATTAGGTAGGTACCTTGTAGATGGATGCAAAGGACTTGGTCTAACCCATCGTAGGAAGCTCTCTGCCAGCATCACTGCAGGCATTTGTGCTGGAACAGTCCCATCAGCCTTTCCAGTGTTACCCTGGTCCCGCAAAGGAGCCTGGAGAGAAGGCGGTCCTTTAATGGGCTCTCACAGCGTGGGCAGCCAGCGGAGCATGCCAGCTCAGATGGGACTGCAGTGGCAAAGTGCTGATCTGAGGGTCGATAAGGAGGGGCAGTGCGAGGCAGTGCAGCAAGGCGAGACTATCAGGCCAGCAGAAAAGCTATTAGCCTTTGTTCTCGTCCTCCAGACACAGGGGAGAGGGGCCAGGGACAGCAGGTGGGACAGAGCTGCTGCCTCCTGGGCTCTGCAAAGGCTTCACAAGCTGCTTTTCTAGGGATGCTGCCATTTTAGTGAGACCCTGGATTGGAAAGCTCTGCAGTTTGATTTCTTCTGCTAAAGGGTAATAACAGCATAACTGCTGGTGGCTACACTACCAGGCCGTAGCAAGTTCCCTTGTGTTCTAAAACACTCCTCTGTGCCTCTGTGTTGCCTTTCTCAAGGTGTCCAAGAGCTGTTCTAGGGTGGGGCTGAAGACTGGTCCTACCATGTAGCTGGCAGGAGAACATGCAACTATCAACAGTGCTTCTAGCAATTAGGGCTCAGGTATTGTTTAGGGATTTGAGCTTCTTTCTAGCTGGAGATCTCTTCTTTCCTAGTGTGTACAGCTGAGACTGCCCTGCAGAAACCCTGTGTAATGGGAGACCCAAACACTCAAGGGAGCGCCCGTCCTCAGAACAACAACATCCACTTGTTTTAGGTGTCCCCACCAAGTGACCATGGTCCAGCCAAAGCCGGCTGAAGCTCTGCTTGCGCAGGGTAAAGGGCTGGGCAGATGGAGTTCCCTTTTCCTCAGTCCCAGCATGGACAGGAGGGGAGCAGTGCTGCTCTGGACCCTTGCAGAGACAAGTGCAGCACTATTTTGCAGTCCCAACCTCCCAGTGCTCCCCTGGGGCTGCAGGAAGGAGCCTGCACCCCGATGCTCTCCCATGGTCCAGCGTTCACTTGCTGTCTGGGTTCACTTGCTGTCTTAGTGCCAGCTGACCCTCCCTCGTGTGTCTGGATCTCTAGCTGGTTCCTCTGCCATACAGAAGTGCTCGTGACCTGCATCTCCCTGGCTCTTCCCAAAGCTGCCTGTGCCTGCACGGGGCCCAAATGAGGTTGGAGAATGATTTTGTGTGGCCGTCAGTCTCTTCAAGACCATCCACAGCTTTTTTCTGCCATCTGTCATTTTGAGAAGAAAGCAAACAAGAATAAATAATAAACTCAAATTATTGCCTAATCAACACAGAAATCAGTGCTGCTTGCTCAGCCGACGGGCCACAATTAGATGCCATCAGCAAATTTGGGCAGCTTGCCTGGGCTGCAGTCTTTCATCTCTTGAAGACTGACAGGCATCTCAAGGATCTGCAGGCAGAGGAAGGAGCTGGGATCTGCTTGGAGGACTCACCTGGCTCTTTGGGAAAAGAGCACATGATTCAAAACCATGAGAAAAAAGGAGCATTGTGTTTATGTTTATTAAGTAAAGGAAGCCCCATACCAGAGGAGGGGACATTTAGGCTGCAGGGATGAGGTCTCCAGCCCCATTTCCAACACCATCTCAGAGCACTGCCCTGCTTCATGCAGCCCCAGCTTGCCTTGTCTTGCCAGGATGATGCGCTGGGTAAATCATTCTGGGAAATGATGGGACGTGTGTCACTTCTACATCCTTATAGATATATGGCAGCCTTAGCGGGGCTGTCGCATGTCTGTGCATGTGTGCAGGATCTTGGCATTTCATCTGAAGCATACATCTTCCTCTTCCTCTTCCTCCTGGGACTGCCCCACTGACTGCTTTTCCGAAAGCAAACAGCGAGATCCGCGCCCAGCCCAGTGACTCAGGCAGCCTTGGCAGGGATGCGCGGAGGCTCCACAACTTATCTTCTCCTGGTCATCGGAAGGGAGTGTGGCCCCTGGGCTCAGCTGCATTTGCTCTTGGTCAGAGCCAGCTGTTCTGGGTAGAGGGTGGACAGCCCCGGACAGACCCCCACTGCAGCAGGGCCATGTTCCCCCATCTCCGCACCCAGTACAGAAACTCGCAGGAGGAAACAGACCCTGGCGATGGTTTGGTGTTCCCCAAGATGCTCTGCGAGTTGCCCTGCATGGGGTGGCAAGCCCATCCTCACTCACCTCCATCCTGGCTCACACAGTGTGGTCAGCTGTCCCGGTGCACACTGCAAAGCAAGGAGCAGGACAGTCTCACCCCAGGGCAAAGGACCTCCTGGGACTGCTGCTGCACTCTGCAAGACAGGGGGGACAGCTGAGAGCTGGAGCGAGGGGCACCCTCCCTTCACCCTTGGTGCTGGCTGGGGAAGGGTGCTTACGGAGCCGGGCCGGGGGGGAGGTGGCAAGGGGACCACCCAGTGCAGGGAGGGAGGGCACTTGGACGGCAGGGGTCAGGTGCTCCTGCAAGGGGAAGGGAAGGGGTGTGGGGCCGGGCAGAGCAGGGGGCAGGCCGCCCGGGCTCCACTCCCCACTCGCACTGGCTTCCACGGCTACTTGTCCCCAGAGAGGCAGGGCTCAGAGGTGCTCTGAGCTGCTCAGAGAAAAGGTGCAGAGACCTGTCCCTCCTCCCAAGAGGGCGAGAGGAGCAAGCCTGCTGAAGGTCCCAGGCTCTGAAACGTGATCCTGCTGGAGGCACCTCCCTGGGCCCCACCTCGCCCTCTCAGACCTATATATGTCGCCCGCCTTGGCTGGGCACGGGGGACGCAGGCTCACACGGTCTGCCGAGCCCCCGGGGATTCCTGTGGATGGAGCGGCCGAGGCACCAGGGGATGGCGAAAAACACGTACATGCGCTGGCGGCTCCCACTTGTCTGCCTCCTCTGGGAGGTGGCCATGATTGTCCTCTTCGGGGTCTTCGTGCGCTTCAACCCCGAAGCTGATGCGCACTGGGAGGAAGAGAAGCGAGAGATGAACCTAACTAGCGACATAGAGAACGATTTCTACTTCCGATACCCATGTGAGTATTTGGGAAGCCTAGTCTTGGTGCTGGCTGGTCCCCATCCCATCCATCCCATCCCCACCCATCACATCCATTCCATCCCATGGTAGAGCCTGTCAGAGGCAACATATTCACCAATTGCTGGGAAGTCAGGCCCTTGCCTTGAGGCTGGTTTGGGGTACACCAAAGAGCAAGAGAAAAGCCTTGTGGCCCTCCAATGCTTTTGAGGTTCCATCAGGGTACCGTGACACCAGCACGGTATTTTTCAGGAATAGGACTGACGTGTTCCCAGCACCCTGCAAGTTTCGGCTTGCTGCCCCCTCCCTCGGCTCTGGATCAGAGCGAGCTTTTCTGTGCATACGGAGGAACGGCTGTTGAGATCCTGTGACATCTTCCTCCCCTTCCTACGTCCTCCCCCACACTAGTAAATTACCCTTTAGGTACTGGCATTTCGATGCCGGAGTCCTCCTAACTTGCCAGGTTCCCAGGGCTCTTGGGTCACCACATGGTATTGCCATGGGGATTATTCAGGTAGTTAAAGCCCTTCTGGCCAGGCGGTGCCTTTAGCCAGCTTTGATCTCCAGGGCTGGTCATCTTTGTGAGCCGTTGGGAACAGGCTGCTTCTGTAGGCAATTGTTTCCAAGGAAGCAACAGGCCTGAGTCATGCATCTATTTAGAACATTTCCATTAAAAACACCTGCTAAATCAAAGGAGCTATAGAAACCTGTAGCTGCTGAGGATTAGCTAGTTCAGAAAAGGATTTGCTTACAGAAACCCACTGCTCAGCTGGCCTCTGGGTTAGTCTATGGCCGTGGCTGCCCTGGGCTCTCCCTTGAGATCTGCCCTTGGGACTAACACCACGCAGGTTGGTGTGAAGCAGCAGCAATGCCCAAGGGCTGCTGTTCTCACTGATGTGCTGGGAGGAGATCAGGGGTCCAGGAAGGAGATTGTAGGAGCTAAGGACGTGACTTCTCTTCTGTCCTCATATCCCACCCCTGCTCCGCAGTGCCAAATAATCCCCCTCAAATGGCTGCATGGATTCACACAGCTAAATCAACCTAAGAGCAACTGCTTAGCTCTTCAGAATTACAATTCTGTTTCAGACCTGAGGAAGGGCTCACATGCCCAAAAGCACAGATGTTTTTTCTCCGTTATCTAATAAGAAATATTCTCTCTCTGCAAAGATGGACAAACGTGGCAAGGGGACTAAGCTCTGGCATTTTGATCCCTGTGTCACTCCAGCACTGTTCAGAGGAGAGTGCGATAGTTGAACACCCGAGGATCATTTATATTAACGTGTCTGCGACTGCTGCTGCCTGTAGGACCTCTCTGCAATGGCAGTGGGATAGGACTGACAAACTGACGAGTCCTCCAAGCCCAGAGATGATGGGAAGGCGTGCAGGAGGAAGCCTATGCGTGGTTGTGTTAGTGGTGCCCATTGCCAGGTCCAGTTGGTGAGATAATTCCTTCTCATTTTGAATCACACATTAATATTCCCTAATGGGAATCCCTAATCCTGAGGGAAAAGAAATTAGATTCTTCAGCACAGGTAGCATTCCCAAAGCCCAAACACTTCCTCTCAATAGCGACAGTAATTGCCCTCCCACAAAAGCAAGGTCACAAAACCTTTAGGGCATAGCAGCTCCTGGGCTGCCACTGATTGATGCCAACACTATTCTTCTCAAGGGAAAACAAATGCAAGGTTTAGAAAAAGGCTTTAGATTGGGTGCAGTTTGAAGAAAGACCTGCTCTTCCTAGGTTTGTACAGGGTCTAGCACACAGTAGGGATCCTCTGTGTGTCTGGAGGTGGCACAGTCTGCAGCTTTAACTCTGACCTGTGTGTTTCTGCTAAAGTGGGAATATATAATGCAAATACCAGCAGGTAATTCTAGCTTAACGCTGGAGAAGAGAGGTAGGGAGAATAAATACAGCTGCAGAGGGAAAGTCTATGGGACTGTATGGTAAAGCCAGAGTTAGGAAGACTGGTTCTTAGGACATGCAAAGAAGCACATTTGAAGTGACCGCTGCTGAACAGCATCGGCTGCAGATCTTGTCTGTTCATTTTTTTACAAGAAATTTCATAGGCATGGGGGGCATTTTTAAAAACAAGCAGGTTAATTTGTCTCTACAATATGGCACTACATTGCTGGAGCCTGTCCAAATGCTCATCCTTATACAAGTTGCAAAATCTTGCAAAGCACCAAAGGACGAACCCTAGCCCTTAGTGGAAGCAACAGATACAACCCTGCAGTCCCTGCAAGAGCAGATCCAGGGCTGCTGGATTTCAGCACAGGTTTGGGGTAGAGCAGATTCTCAGTCACTGAATTTTCTTTGCCGTGAGTTTGTACCTTCTCTGAGGTGCACAGACATTGCTGGTTATAGTGACTTTAATGGTTTGTGCGCTGCATAATGCCGAACTTGCTGGCATAGCTCCGTCTATATTGTGTTTACCTGTTCTACAGCACGGGTTTGCTCATGGGAGTTTCCTAGGGGGGAACCCAGCCTTGTGTCTCCTGCTCTTTTCATGGACAGAGTGGCCTGCAGTGTGAGAGTTTGCATGGTTCAATTTGTAAGCATGTAGCATTTCAGCTCACTTAATTGCTAAGTTATGCTTATCTGATAGAAACATGCAGCATTAAAAAGTACAGCAGGTTTATTGCACCAAGAATTTCTTTCAAGAGGCTCAGGCAGGTTGGGTTTCCCCCCGGGGAAGGACATCTGAGGGGCTCCAGCTAGCAGGTCTGAGCATTTGTGGGAAGAACTGGGTCTCTCTGGTTTAAGCACTCAGAATCTCACAAGGTGGATCCTGGTCTCAAGGGTATTTTGCCACTGATTTCAGTGGCATTTAAAAATGTATTTGTAAACTTTCTTTGTTCTTGTACTCTTCTTGCTCTGAGCCATCACCAGAACCCTGCCTTGGATGGGCCTACCCAAAATGACCATTTATGTGTTTTTAACAAATCTTCACTGTTTGTTTTATGTGACATTTTCCAAGTTTTTTACAAAAGGGGAAAAAAACCAATCTGAATAGAAAAATATTTTCCTTTGCACACTCTATTAGTCTCTGGTCTTCTCTTGCATACAGCTTTTAATAAACATTTTTTACTTTCAAGACTGAGCCTTTTAACCAAAAGCCAGTTTCCAAAAGCTGAGCCATTTTCAGACTTAGAAATGTGGGGACATGGGACAAACACACATTTTTCCTTGAATTTCCGCCCTACTGTTACTGATGTGGTTAGTGTCCTTGTCCTTTCACGACCAACTTCAAATGGCACTCGCAGCCCTGCTATCCCCAGAGAGCTGACAGTTCCTTCCCTCTGCACAGCTTTCCAGGACGTCCACGTGATGATATTTGTGGGCTTTGGCTTCCTCATGACGTTCCTCAAGCGTTATGGATTCGGAGCCGTGGGTTTCAATTTCCTCCTTGCTGCCTTTGGGATCCAGTGGGCTCTCCTGATGCAAGGCTGGTTCCACTCTTTCAAGAGCGGGAAGATCCTCATTGGAGTGGAGAAGTAAGGAGGAGATGGGCTCTGGGATGCCACCTCTTGACTGGCCAGTGGTAGAGCTGGGATGGGAGCCAAGCAGCTAGCAGCACCTGTCCCTACCTTACATGCAAACGAGTCTCTAAACTGTTGTCTTCCCTTCGCATACCTCCACTTGCTTTCCACCTTTTAGTCCAAAGGTGCCTGCCATTATGGTGGTACTGCTTAAAGGAAAATGTGAAATGAGCATCACCCCTTAGTCCCAAGCACCGTGGATGCTAGCGCTGAGAACATACATAATCCACATTATTTAAATAATTTGGGGGAAAGCACCTTTCCTGGTCAGTGCGTCAGGATGGGAGGAAGGGCAGTGGGAAATCCAGGGCTGGCTCCTAATCACCTATTTGTCTTCAGGTGGGATCTCGAGAGCTGGGGGTGAGTGAGAGTCAGTTATGGAAGAGTATTTCCTCATTAAACCACAATTATCCTTCCCCTTTTCCAGCCTGATCAATGCTGATTTCTGCGTGGGCTCTGTGTGCATTGCCTTTGGGGCCATCCTGGGCAAAACCAGCCCCATACAGCTTCTCATCATGACTTTGTTTCAAGTCACACTCTTCGCGGTGAACGAGTACATCCTCCTCAACCTGCTTCATGTAAGGCTTTAGGCGGCATCCGTTTGGTTCCACTCCTTCCTCTCTGCATCTCTGCAAATTGTCTCCCTTTGCTATGGCTCCACCAAGCCATTGCCTTCATAAGCATTTGAAATGCAAGAATTCAGGCAGAAAAAGTAGACAGATTATGAAGGAGGGGGTCAGCGGGTGGTACTTCCTTGAGAAGGGAGATCTGGGGTTTTACACAAAAGCCTGGCAATTCAAGAGCACTGGGTCCCTCTGCTGCGTCTCCAGGCAGATGAGGAGTCTTAGCACAAAGGACCAGTCACTCTCTTTTTGCCTGAGATTTCCCTCTCATCCATTTTCCCTGCTGGAATATGGGCGTTGTAGAAGGAAATCAAGTGACAAAGAGGACAAGATGTCTGCTGATAGAGGCAGGGTTCTTGCCCTCCGAGAGAGGGCTTGGAGGACTAGGAAGCAAATGAGCTCCCAGAAGATCTAAGTACACATGGGAGCCAGCCTGGCTATCACTGCAATCCACTTGCCATGAGGACAGGTCAAAAAACTCCTTTCTGCTTCAATGCCTTCCAAGAGCAAGCTAAGAGGAATGCCATGACCATGCACAGGACCAAGCGAGCAGGACAGATAGCAGGACCAGAGCATTTTTGTCCACATCTCCACTGGACAAGGCTGGAAGGACCAGTGGGCAGACAAGCTGGGCATGATGCAAACCAGACCTCAGCTCCAGAATAAGTGGCAATTGCAGAAGCAAACCTCTGTTTTCCCATGGCTGCAGGTTAAGGACGCGGGTGGCTCCATGACCATTCACACCTTCGGAGCCTACTTTGGCCTCACAGTGACACGCATCCTATACAGACCCAACCTGGAGCAGAGCAAGGACAAGCAGGGCTCTGTGTACCACTCCGACCTCTTTGCTATGATCGGTGAGTCAGCCCTGCCTCAGGGTGCTGGTACCTGCAGACCACTCGACTGCAGAGGGCTGGTCCCTCCTGTGTCTCTGGGAAAACCAAACTGAAACCAGGATCTGCACCTGAGAATCTCTGTATCCCAGTCTTCCACCTCTCAGAGCTACTCAGCTCCCTTCTTCAGTGGCTGCGCTCAGATGGTGCCTGGGAAGACAAGGACATGTTTTGGTTCCCCCTCTCTGCCAGCCCCTCCTGATGCTGGTCCCATCATAGGGATCGTAGGTCTGGAGCAGCTGGACTACAGGATTTAACTTCCCCTTGTGCAGAAAAATCTTCTTTAGAGGTTTTTTTCAATCCCTGTATTCTCTCTTTTCCCTTAATCTACTTTGTCCCCTCCTCCCCATCCCACCAGGTACCCTGTATCTATGGATGTACTGGCCCAGTTTTAACTCAGCAATTTCTGACCATGGGGATGCCCAGCACCGGGCTGCCATTAACACATACTGCTCACTGGCTGCTTGTGTCCTCACCACAATGGCCTTCTCCAGCATGCTGCAGAAGAAAGGCAAGCTTGACATGGTAAGTGGGGAGCACAGAGCCCTATGCTGCCCAGGAGACTTATAATGAGGTTGATGGAGGGTCCAGGAAATGATTGGCACTTGTCCTTTGCAGAACAGATACTGGGTTTCAGGGCGCAATGGTGAAACCAGCATGCGGGCAGAAACCCAGAGGCTATATTGCATAAGCAAGTGGGAAGTGAGTCCTGCAGTGCCTGAGGTGCAGGGTGATGCCCTGCACATGGTGGCCCATGTCACAGCAGGGACTGGACTTGCTCTGCCCAGAGAGCATGTTGATGAGCATGTTGCAGAGCCATGTTTGGCAGTGCTCTCCAGCAAGCCGAGCAGGGCCTGCGCGGCAGCTCGTGAGCAATCGGGGGGCTGACTTGTACGTGTTATGTGTGTGGGTGACATGTCTCTGTGACAGCAAAGCTTGCGTGACACATGGGTGAGACAATTTCCATCTCATCACAACTCCCCACCCAGATTTGTGGATGCAAAGAGTGTGTGTGGTACGGGGAGTGGGAGTCTGTGCGCCTGTGCTACAGACAGAGGCTGCCTGTTCTCTTGTTTTTCACCAACAAGCAGGAAAATGGGCCCTGATATTTCCTCTGGAAACATGTTCAGAGCTGATTCTCCCACTTTGCCATTTGCACCATCCCTGAGCAACTGCAGTCTCCCTGAGATGCCAAGACAGGGCGGTTACTTCTGCAGGTACACATCCAGAATGCAACGCTGGCGGGTGGCGTGGCCGTGGGCACCAGTGCGGAGATGATGCTGACTCCATACGGCTCCCTCATTGTTGGGTTCATCTGTGGCATCGTGTCCACGGTGGGGTATGTCTACCTCACGGTGAGTGCTGCTTTAGGGGTCTGCAGCCTTGGTCCAGTTAAGGAGACCAGAAATGGATTCACTTCCCTTTGAGGGTTTCCGCTTTCCACATGTAGATGCACTTCTGGCTCCATTTACTGCCCCAAAATGCTCAGGAAAGTTCAGTCTCCCAACAGGAGAGTGTTTGGAGGATATGTTGTTATTTTATCTTGAGCTTGGCTCACATCTTTGTCTACAAGCCCTTAGCTCTCTTATGGGACACAACATCACTCTTCCTTCTCTGCTTGTCCCAGTCCTCCATGGAAGGAACTAATCCTTTCCAGGGCTGTGCTCATGTCCCTGATCGCTCTCTCTACCTCCCTTCCCTTCAGCCTTTTTTGGAGTCCAGGTTGCACATCCAGGACACGTGCGGCATCCACAACCTCCACGCCATGCCGGGCCTTATTGGGGGCATTGTGGGGGCCATCACTGCTGCTGCAGCCACAGAGGATGTGTATGGAAAGGAAGGGTAAGACAGCTTGAAAATCTTCCCTGAGAATAGATTTTACCTGGGGCTCCTTGTGCTGGGAGCAAGGAACAATTAACAGCCCTTGTTAATTGTCCAGAGTTGCCCCTTTCCCCCTAAAAAATCATGGGGTGCACTGACTGTGTCAGGCTTACTGAAGCGTAAAGACTCATCTCTTGTAGCTGACTTTTGGTGGCCTCAAAAAGTGAGCCACAAGCCTACTGCTTGGCGTTATTCTGGGGCACAGTGGGTGGGGAAGTGCACCTCCCTCCATCCCTGCATTGTTTTGGGGGTCAGGTAAGGCTGAAGGTCTGAAATACAAAAGAAATGTTTATATTTTGGGCTCCTCCTAGGTAGAGCTTTGCCCGGGGGCCAGAGGAGAAGGAAGTGAGCGATCTTTTGTGTCATTGCGACACTTTCCTGGTCCGTTGCAGAAGAGGGATGGGGCTAGGGAGGAGTCCCTGAGGGAGTAGGGCAGCACGGCTCCTCCAGAGCTGGGGAAGATCTGTCAGGAGCAATCCTCACCACTTCTGCCCTCGGCAGGCTCATCAAGGTGTTTGACTTCACTGGCACGTACCAGACACGGACACCCAGTGTCCAAGGAGGGTTCCAGGCGGCTGGCATTGTGGTGTCTCTGTTGATCGCTTTTGCCGGAGGAGCCCTTGTGGGTAAGCGGGAGGGGAGCACAGAGAGGGGAGGGTTGAATCCAGCCTGTGGCACTGAGCACCGTGCCAGGGCTGCATTTGCCCCCTTTGCTGCCGGGACGGGCGGACTGCGGCCATCCGCACCCT